TATAGCTTCTCAAGATGCATCACAGATCTGCATGGATACAAAACTGCTATCTTCTTCTACGACCCATGCATCATACAGTTTTCAAAATCAAAGTTGAACCCCTCCTCCATTAGCATCAACGGTCTCTACAATTTATACAAGCTCAACAATGACGAAATGTCCCCGTAGATGACCATGATTTTCAAAAATGCCATTTTCGAGTTTCTTAGCGTCGTAGATGAATATGCAGCTACAGCCTCAAGCAAGTTTGACATCGGAGGAAATCTGGACTATTTTCTAGAGTGGACTTTGTTCTTTAAATATATAGGAAGTAAATCCGGGCTATTTGTCAGAGTGAGGAGATTTAACAATTTGGGAACCCAGAGATATATACTTGGGTTCATAGATACTCTAGTTAAGGGGTTGCCCACCAACTTTTCTTTTTATCGACCATGCCACACATTTTTCTTAAGAGACAAAATCTTGGCACTAACTCAGGTGCGTGCAGTTTGTGGTTTCTCTAAAGGACTGTATACTAGGAAAAAGGCCAACAGGATGTCTTATCTATTTGTGGTTGAGTCTTATTAAAAAAAATAACTTTTACATTTCAGATTTGAACATAATTAAGAAAGGGCATGACATTAGCATGCTGATCTAACGAACTATGCTCAATGCACATCATCCGAAAAAAATATAAAATATACATTCAGAATTCCAAGGAGAACTACAAGAACATGTCTGCTATATTTTTTAGGAGGGAATAGTAGGTGAATAAAAAAGAGCATGTCAGTCGTATGAACTTGCTTTGAGCCATACAGCAGGGTACGTACGTGTGTGCCATGCAGCCGCGCACATGCGCACAGCCTCACCGCATGCGCGCGTCGTATTCCGACACTCCGTCACGGCTCTCTTCTCTCCCCCGGGCGCGGGGAACGGGAAGGAAGTTCACGTGCCGCTGTGTGAGCCAGCTAGAATAGCACGCCGTCTCCGCCGGAAACCCCGAACCCCAATGCGGCTAGCTCACATGCTTGCGTGCGTCGCCGAGAGAGACCGACGACGACGCAGGCGTGCTCGATCGCGTCTTCCTCCACGGGCACGGTCCACCGCTGCACGGCACCGTGGCTGGTGTTCGCAAGGCAGTTCGGTACGTGGCTCTGTTGGCAGGCCTTCTCGTCACATGGGAGCGCCGTGTTCTTCTGGATCAGACGACAGACGCCCCTGCAGGGCGAGCCGACGCAGAGTCGCCATCCGCCAAAGCCATCGTTGTGGGCTTGTGGCCGGCGCTGCCCGTGGCCTGGAGCTGGGAGCCTAATCATCATCATCGACCGGTTCGGTAACTCAATCAATCATGGGTCGCCGGACTTTTGCCGTCGAAGCTACGTCAGTGCGGATTAGGATTACCATCACGGGGGCGCTTTGTTAGTTTTTATCAATCTTTTTGTACTGTCAGCCGGCAGATGCGATAAGATAATCGCGGTCGAACCACCGTTGATCGAGTTCCTGCCGGCAAGCAAGCAATGATCTCCACCTGGTGTATCGCGTTCCGGTCAGGGTCAGGCTTTTTGCAAAGCAGGTCTGCCGTTAAAGCGGATACGTTTCTCCTTCTGTCCGGCCCACTCGCGGGCCTCGAAAGGTCACACGTGTTACGAAACGTGGATGAGTCACCTGCTCTTTTTGCACCATCATCATCATCGTCGGCATGGCTTGGCACGCACTTCTATGCATCCGGCTGGGCGGCCAGCGATAGACCGTAGCAAGCATGAATGATTGATGAAGCACATTCCTGCGAGACCGTAGCCTGAAACTACTCCGTCTCAACCAAAATAACCGCACACAAATGATGGTTTGGAAAGGGAAGCAGATATTACTCCTGCCTTGGAGCTGAAGGTATATTATTGCTTTTACACTTTGGATGTTCAGTTCACACGCGCGTGCAGAATCTTTTTCATGCAGAGAGACAACTGACAAGAACCGATAAGCCTGTTTCTTTGGTTGGTTTTGGAAATGATAAGTCGATTAGTCTTTGGTTTATTATTGGAGAAAAAACTATATATATCGTGGGTGATAAGTCCCTTTTTGAAACCAACGAGCGAATAAGCTGGATGTGTGATGATCTGACACGACCATGATGCTCATCGCCCTCCTCGCAAGTCAGGCAGTGTACGTAGTGCAGTACAGTCACAGATCGTGGAGGACAATTCCACAAGACAATAACCCACTCGTGTGTGTGTGCTGGTAAAAGCTTGAAAGCTTGCCGCTCGTTAAGCACCAACCACAGGGCCAACGTTCGAATCAGACAGGAACAGGATGATTGATACATTAAGCTGAATTTTATATCGTCTGTCATGGTTTACTTAGCGCTGGAGATCGGGCTAGTGCAGGGCCCTGTGTTGCGCTTTCTCCCCACTTGGAACCTTGTGGCTCTCCCTTTCTACCAAGCACTTAGCATTTTTCTTTTTTTCAGTAAGCATTTGTGGGCAGGCCCAGGGGGTTCCGGTTGCAGACGCGGCAATCCAGCACGGGTAGGACGGTAGGAGGCGACCAGCACGCGTAGGACCGACCAATCCTTTCCCGTCCACGTACAAACTGACACAGAAACGTGGAAGAAGAAGTCATTTGCGATGGCTTCTCTCCGTCGTCCTAACACGGCCACATGGGGCTCGGTCTGTGCGGATATTCAGCTACCAAGGACAGAACAGCGACCAACCAGAACCCAGAACCAGACCAGAGCTGCTGAAGTACGCTCTTTCCTGCATCCTGCCGCTCTAATTGTGCAGGATTGCATACGCGTACACCGTTCCATTTCCAACAGGACACCGATACGCATCCAGCATCGATGTCCTTACCCATCAATGGAAACCGGTTTATTCTGCAGTTAAAGCCAGAAAATAGTACCTTCCCTGCTCTGAAGTCTCGAACTTCATCTGCATCTCCAATTCTCCATTCCGTGCCCTCTTTCGGCAGCACCACGGACACGGATGCCTTGCCTTCGCCCCGGCCCGGAGCGGCGGTTAGCATCATCGGAAGCCCTCAGAAAACGGCAAAAAGGATCAATCAAACAGAAGAAAAAAAAAGAGAAAACGTCGCTTTGCTTCGTCTTGAGCCACAACGGGCGCTTTTGGTAGTGGAAACATGGGCTCTGTTCGCTTGTCTAATACAGCCTGTTCGTGTGTTCGTTTCAGTCAGGGCTTATCAGTCAGTCAACAGTATTTTTCTCTCACAACAAACCAGCATCAATCGGGTTTATCAGTCCAAAAACTAACCAGCGAACAGGTCGATAATGCGTACTTTTTAGCTTGTTTTTTTCAGCCGGAACAGTATTTTTCTCTCACAACAAATCAGCTGGAACAGTGTTCGATTTGTTTTTTCAGCGAATCGAACGGGCCATTAAAGAAACCCAGGCAATCTTTCAGGAATATATGGGCGCAAAAAAAAAAAAAAGAGAGCGCTGCGCGCGCGCCCCTTTTTGACTCTCCGCGGCTCGGCTGCCGCTTTGCTTCCTCGGCTCCCCGTAGCCATCCATGCTTTGGGCGCTGGTCGCGAGCGCTCGCCACGAGTCCTCTTCCTCTCCCGGCGCCTCGCGGGCCCGCCGCGCCGTATCTAGTAGACGCACGCGACGCGGCGTCACTGTAGACTGTAGGGTTACCCATGGATGCAGCAACCAGCAAGCCAGCAGGGGCCAGGGGTGTGCACGGTGCACCACCCACATGCCATGTCCGTGTCCTGGGTTCTCTAAACCGGCGACCTTCTCGCCGGATGTACTCCCGTCTCGGACGGTGCTCCAAGAAACAAAACGTGACGAATGCCGAGACGAGATGAACCAGATGAGCTGGATGGCGGGGAACTGGAGATGGAGATGCTTGCTCGTACTGGTAGCTGGGACAGGCTACAGAGTACAGACTGCAGAGCATGCAAGCTGCCGAGACAGGGGTCAAGGTTTTAACGGTGCTGTCCGTAACATACTGGTAGTAGTTTAACGTTTTCGAGGCTGCTCAGTGCGAGAGACTGTGAGACACGGTCTTTTTTGCTAGTTGGTTTTAGCCAGCCTAAACTAGTTAGTTAATAGTGTTTTTCTCTTGTAAAAATTAGTATTAGCTAGTCCAAATTAGTATCAGCCTCAACCAGCGAACATGCCATGTGTACTACATGAATGTCTGTACACACTCGCGTCAGTAATTTAATCCTCCCCTCTCCCCGTTTCTACACCCCTCTAGAACGAGCGGAGGACGAAGCAGTGAGAACGGGAGCGATGAGGAGCAGGGGAGGCCAGCCCGGGTGCTAGTTGGCCGCGCGCGTCGGGCATTTGTTTGTTTACCTCGGGATGGGATGGGATGGGATGGGATCATGGGCGATCAGCGGGAAAGAGAATCTAGTCTGTGTGCGCGTACCCAGGAGGCACATGCTGGGGGACTCGGCGTCTCTTTGACATGGCTTATATCGGTTTAGGCTTCATCTATTTTACGCAAATCGATTTATTATAGTGTGAAGCTATTTTGTAAGTCGGGGTTAAAATAAACCAGAAGCTAGAAAAAACCCGTTTTTCTGGTTTTCATCGGCTTTGGCTTCACCGGTGAAGCCGTTTTAATGACCCGTGTCAGAGGGGCTTTAATATTTCCCCCGTGTCCGTCTCCGTCAACAATTCCCCGTCGGCCGCTTCGCTTGCTTATCATCGCCTCACCCGGCAAGGGCAGGGCCAGCCGCGAGAGCAAGCCCGATCACCTCGTGCCGAGGCATCAGTCAGGCGCAGCTCATCTATATAAACGCGGGCCTCTCTCCTCACTTAAATCAAGCACCCAGTGTTAGCTCCGCAGTCCGCACGCGCACGGAGGGAAGGGGGAGAGGAGCGAACGAGAGGAGCAGCTGCGGCTGCGAGCGGGGAATTAACGCCAGACAGATAGGTGGTAGAGGCAGAGAGAGAGAGAGAGAGAGAGGACGAGGAGAGGGGAGGTTGGCGAGAGAGCCGAGAGCAGGTTGCTAGCAATAGCATATATAGGCAGAATAGCTCGGGGCCGGCCGGCGCAATGAGGTCGTGGCGGCGGCAGAGCGTGGTCGCCGCGGTCGTCGTAGCGCTGCTGGCTGCGACGTGGTGCGCGGCGGCGGCGCAGGCGCAGCTGAGCCAGAGCTACTACGCGTCGACGTGCCCCAACGTGGAGACGCTGGTGCGCGGCGCCGTCACCCAGAAGCTGCAGGAGACCTTCAACGCCGCGCCGGGCACGCTCCGCCTCTTCTTCCACGACTGCTTCGTCAGGGTACGTACGGTCCATTCCATTTGCATCCGTCAGTCACCATATGCGCAATCCAATCGATTAACGTCCCCCGTCCTGACCCTTCTCTTCTCGGTTCATTCCAATCCCAGGGCTGTGACGCGTCCGTGCTGCTGTCCGGTCCCGACGACGAGCACAGCGCGGGCGCCGACACGACGCTGTCGCCGGACGCGCTGGACCTCGTCACCCGCGCCAAGGCCGCCGTCGACGCCGACCCCAAGTGCGCCTACAAGGTCTCCTGCGCCGACATCCTCGCACTCACCGCCCGCGACGTCGTCTCCCAGGTACTCTACTTCTTCTGGCCTCTCATCGATTCATCCATCCATCCATCCAAGCTGCAGGTCGCAGCTACACATCCACGCCCCTCTCTTCTTCCTCCCAAGCCAGCTCCCGTATAGAATTCGTTGGCGCTGTCGTTTCTCTCTACGTCACTTTCGGCGCCACAGACGAACAGAGAGGAGGGGGGGATGGAAATGGAAACAAAAAAGAACTTGCTTTTTTCCAGACGGTTATGCCACTTTGGTCGATGGGGGGTTAGCGACGGGGAGCTTACGCTTAAACCCTACGCCATTAGCGCACCATCGTATATAATAAACTAATAATTAATCACCGATGCTAGTAGTGCTTTGGAGTGGTTTCCGCCGCGCCGCGGGCAGGTCCCGGCGACAGCTATGATGAGGCTGACATGCCCGCGCGCGCATGGGCAAGGCGAACGAGTCCGCCGCAGGCCGAAGCGGCAGTGCCTCGTCCACGTTGCGAGTCGCAATCACTGACCCTGAGCTGTGCCGCAATCAATCATCCTATCTAGTCCGTCCGCGCGCGTCATGTCCAGCCCCCCTGTCGTCTTCCTCCCCTGCTTCTCCCTGAAGAGAGCCCAGGAGGCAATCAGGCACGCCGCACGCGCAGAAACCTTTTACATACTCCTAATGCAAGCTCAACGAGGAGTTTAGGATCAGCACGAACCATTGAGGTGGCCGCAGAGAGGAGGTTCCAAAAAAGAAAAAGAAAAGTTCGAGTCCCGTTTGGCGCTAAAACAGGGGATTGGGTTTTGGGGGTGTGGTCCTGCCGTGTCCTGGTACTGCATCCTGTCGGAATTCTGCTGTCCCCGGCTCATTCACTCGGAGCAACAGCACGCACGCGGTCCAGAGGTGGGACGGCGGCAAGGGCAAGGCATGGCGCGAAGAGGAGATGCGAATGCGATGAAGCCGTGGTGGCCTGGCCTGGACGGGGGCCTGAGCGCCGGTGTCACTGCTTGCTCTCGGCTCTCCCTCCTCGCTGGCTCGCTGCTGCCTGCCGGCCTTTGAATTCTTCTCTGACGCGAAAGCGGACACGGTTTGGCGGCGTAAATGAGCCGGTACGGCGTCGATAGATACGGGCGCCCGACACCTAATCCGCCGGGCCGTGCAGTATTGCACTGCCTGGAGCCCTGGACATGGACGGACAGACCGGTGCTCGTAGAGATAAGTACACGGCTACGGCCATACGGGCTTTCAGCTATCGTGCCGAGCAACTCGGCCGAAGTTTCTGATGCTCGTATCCATATTTCGCACATACGCGAAGCGTGCTGCTGGTACCGCGTCGGAGGACGTCGCAGCAAGCCGCTGTTCTCGGATAGAATTTTTTGTTTGGGCACTGCACTGGTAAAAGATCTCACTGCCGGAGTGTACTTATGGTTGCAAACTTGAAATTGTTACTTGAAATTGTTGATGCAGACGGGCGGACCGTACTACCAGGTGGAGCTGGGGCGGCTGGACGGCAAGGTGGGCACGCGCGCCGTGGTGAAGCACAGCCTCCCCGGCGCCGGCTTCGACCTGGACCAGCTCAACAAGCTCTTCGCCGCAAACGGGCTCACGCAGACCGACATGATCGCGCTCTCAGGTACGTCATCACGTCACGCCCGCCTCAACAAATACGCCTCCGTAGTAGCAGTAGTAGTATACGATAGGAGGATAGCTTCCGTTCGGTTGGGTTGTCGAAAGCGCCCGACTGGTTCGGTTTGGTTGGCAGTTGCATGCGGTTGCGATCGCGACGCCGGCCGGACGGCGGACGCGGCTCATCATTCCGCCTCGCCCACTCCGCTCACTCCCCTCCCTGCTGCTCACATTTGCTGCTGGCCTGCTGCTCGTAGAAACGCATGTCCTTTCCAGGCTGGCGCCGGGCGTGCCCACCCTCCCCAGCTTCCTCCCGCTGCAGCGTCGCGCGCAGGCCTTTTCTCTTGGCATGGTCCCGTGGAGTATGGCTTGCTGTTGCTGCTACACGTTCTGGGTGTCAGCCTGTCTGTCGCTCGCTCACACACTCGTGACCACTGACGAGATCACCACACACCGTCACGTCACGGTCGTAGCACTAGCAGTAAAACCTTGCAACTGTCCACCTTCCAGTCTTGTTTTAGTAGGCTGCACGTCAGCGGGTCAGCGACCACGGCTGCCGATCCGCCGCTGACGCTGCCAGCTGCCGCTGCCATCCACAGCGTCACTGACGTACGTGGCGCTTGCAATTGCAGGTGGGCACACGATCGGCGTGACGCACTGCGACAAGTTCGTGCGGCGGCTGTACCCGTTCAAGGGCAACAACGCCGGCGCCGGCCCGCCGATGAACCTCAACTTCCTGCGGCAGATGCGGCAGACGTGCCCGCTCAACTACAGCCCGTCGGCGTTCGCGATGCTGGACGCCGTGACGCCGCGCAAGTTCGACAACGGATACTACCAGACGCTGCAGCAGATGAAGGGCCTGCTGGCCTCCGACCAGGTGCTCTTCGCCGACCGCCGGTCCCGCGCCACCGTCAACTACTTCGCCGCCAACCAGACCGCCTTCTTCGACGCCTTCGTCGCCGCCATGGCCAAGCTGGGGCGCGTCGGCGTCAAGACCGCCGCCGACGGCGAGATCCGCCGCGTCTGCACCAAGGTCAACTAGCTAGCTTAGCTAGCCCGTACATTGGGACATTGGGTGGGTAGTACCGTAGTTGGGGGTTGAGAAAGAATGTCCATGTCCATCAGTAAAGTCCATCCATGATCCATCACAGTTCACAGTCACAGTCACAGTGTACTATTGATTTGTTGATGATCCGCCGATTCTTTTCTTGATTATTATTGTGTACTAGTAGTAGTAGTAGTAGTAATTAAAACCATGTAACAAGAAGAGGGAGCTCCATATATCCTAGGATATTTTCATGCCTTACCATGTGAATGTGATAGAAGGAGAAGAGGAAGGTACCGTACCTTTACATCCATGTAAATGAATGCTACAGTTCGTCCAAGTACATGCCCTTTCTTGCTTTTTTTTTTGACAGTTGCTGATCAGTCACGAGAAACATGAATGAGGTTGAGCGAGGGTGACCCGCTCGCCTGTGTACATTGTATGCTATGCTCATGGCGGATCCAGGCTGATGACAGCCAGAACATGTAGTATGGTCCAAGTCGTCATAAATACAGCCGGCATGAGCTGTGTGTGTGTGTGTGCGCGCGCGCGCGCTATGCAGTTCAGAGACCATGTGACGCTTTCAGTGGACGGAGCAAGCAGAAATTAGGGTAGCTGCTGAGGATGAACAGTGTGATCTATGGTTCTGATGATGCCTGCTTAGAGGACGGCCTCTGTTTTTAGTGTTTGTAGTCTTGAGCTTTCTATCATGACATGTCTAAGCTAGTTCTCATGCATAGAAAAAAAAAAGCGACCAGAAAATGTGATTCTGTGACATGGAATTGCTGAAACATGCGGCCATAACACACTGCTTTTCCACGTCAAGTACTGAACTTTCAAGCCGTTGGCTCGAATTCGGGATGCATAACTTGATGTGTTGGGATGGCACAATCGCAAGGTCCCTTTCCTGGTCAGAAACAGCCGCCGAATTTGCTGTTTCCCAATCAACTGAAGTTATTCTTCCTCCAAACAAACAAAAGAGATGCTCTGGAGCTTACCATCAAGCTAAGGGACGCATACCAGAAACCTGCAATTACCAGCATGGGTAACCTTGACCTTATCTCTCTGAGTTGCATCAATCTTGTATATTGACCAGCATTGGTATGCAGTAACTACTGTGGTCAAACCTTTTTTGTGATCGTGTCTTAGCACGTGTTTCATTAAGCTGTGGCCAAACTTTGCTGGTCCTTAAACTGAAGGAAGTTTTAAAAAAAACTCTCTATGGGCATATCTCTCCAAGATTAGTATATTGCACATGAACATTCAGAACGGTCCAACAGGCCCTTGTACACACACCAGTATCAGTATGACTGTGATAAGCAATTCGGCATAGCTATTTAATATGAATACCACATACTATGTCTGTTTAATACCAACAATGGAACATGTCCCGCTGGAGTGCTGGACAGAAATTCTATGAATCTAGCCACAAATGTCAGGTGGGCTCAAACATCAGTTTCAACATCACCATAAATACTCGACCGTCTCATTTTTAGTCATAATAAAGAGCATTAAACCCTATACAATCCTGCTTTATCTCAGACTGCATCCGAAAGGTCTTTTGCTAAATCTGCTGAGGATTCTGTCTTAGTAGCAGACATCCTCAGTCTTAGCTCGGCTCCCTATCTAGCTTTTTCGCGAGCTGTGTCGTCCTGACACGTATTTCATTAAGCAAAAGCAGAGTTTAACTGGTTACAACATCCTCAAGTAATCCATAGATTACCATGAAAGGATGGAAGCCAACACGACCCAAATAAACCTAACTTAAATTACATTACATGAAAGTTATGCAACCAATTGGGCAGGTGCCAATGAGACTAGCAAGCCTCCTCGAACATACACTCGAACCCCGCCACGTCGAACCTCATAAGCGCACGAAGTGCGTCCCTTTTTGCAGAGTCAAGCAGGCCCTGGAATGACCGCCGGAAGTCTTAGCTCATCAAAGAATGAAAATGAGAACGACAAAGTCAATCAAGCACACAAGAAAAGTAATGATGCCGGATTTTTCCAAATTAATAAAATAATTGGAATTTTGGAAATGGTAATAGGTATCTTTATTACATTAACTAAAGCTAATATGTGGTTCTAAGAGTACAATTCCTCCTGCATGCCACACACTGCTGCTTTTCTAGGTTTACATTATTGAAGCCAGTGGAATGCATTCCATGCCTTTTTTTTTAGGAATGCATTGTATGCCTGATTTGGTGAAAATAATGGGCAGTCGCTTTCTAAGGTAAAATGAGCTATCACAACTGATTTAAGGGAAAATCTGAACAACTTTTCAGGTCAACACAGAAATGCAGAGTCAGTATAATTCAGGCATTAATAGAATCTACAAAATTCATACGGTCCAGACTCCAGTCAGATCCAAGTACCCAACCACCAAGACTAGTAAATTATGAAACCAATATCAAGCTGCCAGAGCATACATCAATATTCAATACATCCTGATCACTTTGACCTCAAGCTTAGGTTAATCAGTAAAACTGGGAAGAGGAGTACAAACACAAATTCTAGCAAATTTCTACACAGGTTTTTGCCGAGGTTGTGAAAAAAGATCACCAAGTCATTGTCTTCCTACAATCCTACTAAGATTAAAAAAAACAATTTTGGGAAACTTGACATATTTTTTTAGAGTAAACTGCACCGTGGGTACCTAAACTATTAGGTGTGTAACACATAGGTATTCAAACAAAAAAACGTAACTCGTAGGTACTGGATCTACAATTTTGGCTCTCCAACGGTACTCGCGCGGAAAGGACCCAAATAAGGCTGGACATCTCACGCGGGCCTCTAGGCTGTTTTGTGAAAAACCCCCCGCTGAATCATCTCCTCCTCATTCTCAGTCCCGTGGCCTTGAAGCTCTGTCTCCCTCTCTCGCCGCCCGTCTGCCTCCCACTCACGCAAGCTCGCCGGATCCATCTCCCTAAGCTCGCCGCCGCACCCTCCCCCAAGTCGTCATGCGAGCGTCGTCCGGCCATAGCGGCGCTGGGAGCTCTGGTTACCAGCGCCTGGTGGACCGCGGGGAGAAGACTAGGCTGCCGCTTGTGCCCTGCCCCACATGCGGTGCGGAGGTCTTGGAGCTCGTCTGTGGTCCCGGATCTAAGGTCCCTGGGGCCGTTTTCTTCAAATGCCGCTTTCATGAAAGAGATGTAAGTGCATAGTGCCATTTTTTGCTGTAGGATTGGTGTTCTTGCCTTGTGATGTGGTGAACAATTTGCCTTGTGATGCAGGTGCTGTGAGCGTGCACTGTGGTTCTTGTTTCAAGACAAGTATGAGCGTTTGCTCGTTGTAAGGGGACTGATTGGAGGCACCAGAGAGGAGGCCATGAACAACAAGTTGTTGTGAATCATGATGAACTTGGAGGATTGCGGGGAGAAGAACATGTTGTGGAGGCAATTGAAGAGTGGGATTCTTTGGTTTGGATGCAATCTGAAGAAACTTGTAGACCTAGGTCAAATTGGAGTTGTGTCTTTGTGTGGTTGCTTGGTGTTTGTTGTTGTTGGTGTCATCGGCATGATGCTCAAGTAGGAGTAGGAATTGTAATGCAAATTTGGTGCAATGAACCTGATTCAAATCAGTTTGGCAATGAAATGGAATGTGTTTTGTCCATTCAAATCATTTTGGCTCATTGAATTGTGATGCATTGGTGTTTATTTAGTGAATACAATTGACAGATGTGAGCTGAACAAAGTGAACTCAAATAGCTTTTTTCACAGGAAATTTTGACAGCAACATTTGGCAAGGCAAGTTAAAAACAAGAGTAATTCACAGGCACCTAAATATGAGTAATTCATAGGCACCTAAAAATAAGAGTAATTCACATTTGCCAATATTTAGAGATTGATCCAGTGACATAGTCACTAAAATAGCATCCGTACATTAGAGATTGATCCAGTGACATATAGTCACTAAAATAGCATCCATACATTAGAGATTGATCCAGTGACATATAGTCACTAAAATAGCATCCTACATTAGAGGTTGACCTAGTGACATATATAGTCACTAAAATAGTATCCATTATATCTCAGTTTTGGTGCTTGCAGTACACATCCTACCCACCAGTGCACTACACCATACTAGCTGCATATGACCTATACCTATATGATCACTGCACAAAAGAAGGCAAACTTCAGCTGCTGAACAAAAGGCAACTGTATTTGCTCGACAAAAGCCAACTGTGATGTACAAAAGGGCATCAACACACTCCATAATCCTTCCTACTGTCCAGCTGGACCTTTCTTGGCATTCACTGTCTTCTTTTTTTGGTTCACTGCTTTCTTGGTCCTTGATGTCCTGCCAGCTTTGGTAGCCATTGTCATATGAATTTGCCTTTCCTGGAACATTGGAAACGATGTAGGCTGAATCTGGTACAGGTTGACTGACTGGATGCTGTCTCATAGTCTATGAGGCCTGGAAAGGGTCCAAACAAGTTTGTAAGCTAAATTGTGTGGGCCAAAAAAAATGATGATAATGAGGGAGTTGTGGTACCTCATCCAGTAGTTGAGACAGCATAGGGTTGTCTACTTGGGACATGGTTGCTTCTGTTTTAGCTTCTGCAGTATAGACCTCCTAAAACACAGATTCTAGTGAAAATAGGTATTTTGTACCAAATAAAGGGGACAGTCTGGTTGCACATACCTGATATTCTTCTTGATGCCTTGCTTCCTCATGTGCTTGTTGAACAGCTGACCTTTTCCTTTTCTGGACAGCTGGTTCTCCTGCTTCCTTTGCTGCACATCTTGCTACATTATGGTCAGGTTTTCCACAGTGACTGCAGTGCATTATTACTCCATGTTTAGATAGCCTTGGTCCATTTCTGCCTTGTTGTTCATGTGGTGCTTTCTTCCTTGCCTTTCTTTGGCCTACTGGTTTCTTCTCATATTTAGGTGGCTTCATACGTGCCTCCAACATTTTGCCAATTAGTCTTGTCAGAGCATGGAAAAATTTGGAAGTTGTATGCATTCTGGAAAGCTTCAATGGAGTAATGAGTGTGGGAGCACCTTTGAGTCTTGGAATTCTTTCATGCTTAAGGCAAGCAATTGCATGACTACATGGTATGCCTGTCAAGTCCCATCTTCTACATTCACATTTCTTAGCTGCAATGTCCACAACATACTTCCATTCTCTGTCATGAACCTCAAAAATTCCACTCCCACTAGGTAATGGGTAGCATGTGTTGGACATCTCTGCATGCCTAGCTAGCTTCTTTCTAATTTTTGGGCATATGACCATGTGTCCCCACTTCTCAGTAACCTCTTTCTGCTTGGTGTAGTGTCTGGTCATAAGCTGGACCTTGATCTTTTGTAGCATGCTCAAAATAGGCAATTCTCTGGCTTCCACTATGTAATTGCTGAAAACTTCACAAGTGTTGTTCAAGAGGATATCACACTTTG